GAATGGTCTTCGCGCCAGAAGCACCACCCTCGACACCCGAAGCACCTTCTTTTCCCGACATCTTACGCACCAACGAACAAAGAATAGATCCAAAACTGAAAGATAGAGTCTTTATCAAAAGATCCCACCTTTATCAACAACGAAGTCCTAAACGGGCCTCCAAATTGATCTACTCCTCCAACCAAACCCTAGATCTGGAATCTGGGCTCTGATACCACTTGTTGTCCGCAGCGAAAATTTCGGCAGAGTTTTTGGTGCACAATAAGAGAGAAAGATCGATAAGAATTCTTGTTTCTCAAAGGTAATAAGAATCTGAAGCCTAATATCCCATCAAAGTAGGATATTAGCTCTTCCTCTCGTCAGCTCTAGGACTGCGCGTCGAGGGATCCTAATAACTATTACAATGGTCACAAACTCAAACAAACCAATTTTACGTGGTTCGGCAAACTTCCTACGTCCATGGGGCAAGGAGGGGGGATCTACTATTATAGAGAAAAAGAATACAAATGAGTTTACAACTCTCACAATCTAAACCCTCAAAAGCACAAAAGGATTACACAGAAAACTCCTCTCAAAGTCAGCTTTGATACAGCCACTTTTCTCCTCTGCGCGAATCCCTTTGCTTTTCACTTTGTCAGCGCTGTCCTTTGCACCCAGCCGCCACAATTTATTTCCCCTCTGCCTTAGCACACGGAAAACCTAGAAATCAATCCTATTTATAATTTAATTTGCGGGCAGCGGCATCTCGGGTCGTGGGCTCTTCATGTGGCGAAAACAAAACTCGTCTCGTGATAGGAAAACGCGTACAAAGAAGAGGTGGCCCCCACGCGCATTTCTTCACGCGGAAAAGAAAAAACCCGTCCACCTTCATTCACGTGGTTTCCTGCTAAAACCGTGTGGTCCCCACAAGCATGTTGCCTCCAACAGTACAATGTCCACCATCCTCATAAAGTAGGCACAAATGCTCACTAACTCACACACTCTCTCCTACTTTATGAGGATGGTGAGGATTGTGCCACATAGGCGTCAAGGAGGAAATTCCCTCCTATAACAAGGATACCCACAAGACACAATCTCTTGTTGCCACACATTGCTTTAGGCACTGTTTGGCAACCAAAAAAAGTATCTTATCTAAGAGCTTGTGTCTTATTGACTTGGTCAATAAGCTAGTAGAGCTGTTTGGTGACCAAAAATAGGAGAATATTATTTTAAAGATTGTGTCTTTTGCAAGTAGCTTTTGAAAAGCTATCTCAAGTAGCGTTTGTCTTTGGGAAAGAGCTGTTAATTTTTTTCTTCCGTTTTTACCCCTAATAATTCTAATTTTATATCAATAATATTGCATGTCCTTTTTAGTCATTTAACAAATTTAAGCTAGTTGTACATCTTCTTTTGCCAAACAGCTTTAGTCAATCAGCTAGTTACACAGCTATCAGCTTTCAGCTACAATTTCACAGCTTTTAGCTAGCTTGACAGCTTTCAGCTATAATTGTTTGTGGAAAAATTCGATGTAAAAGAAATGAAAGAAAATTAATTTGTATTCTCTCAAAATCGATTACAATTGGATTTCCTGATTACAAAAGAGAGGAGAATGAATTTGATTCTCCTCTTTGTTTAAATCTGGGTTCTTCATGGTGGCGATGGAGTACCTCTCTCGAATGCTCACGTCGAGTTTGCTCTCCTTTGACGATCCGCACGTCTTGATTCACTAGAACGATATCTTCTCCTCACGATTTGACGTTATGAAGAACTTGTATGGCAAGTTTGAAACTCTTGATGAGTTGATAACTCTGAACGAGTTTTAACTCTTGAAAAAGAGTTGATTTGAACCGAAAGTTCGGTTGATAAGCCAAGGATGAAGAAGCTCTTGTTGCAGATCTCCCAAGCTCCAGAAAATGCTCCAAGGATCTCTTCTGCTGCTGTCAAACCGAGAGCCTAGTCCCCTCTGTTCCAACCTCGCTGCCAAGTCTCAGATCCAAAAAACCAGCCAGAACTCAATTGAGTTTACCCATATTTATAGGGAATTAATGGGTGTAACCGCCCCATTAATCCGCTCCTAAGTGGGGCGAAAATCCCTCAAATCGTGGAGGGAAAACGGTTCCTGCAACCGTTCAGCTCGTGTTTGAATGAGTCAAACGCCCACGTCGGCGTTCAGGACCCTAACTCCGTATTTTAGACTGGAGACGCGGAGTTGGGTACCCGCTGGGCATTGAAAAACACAGGTCCGACCCCAGCGTTTTAATGTTGTAACGCGGGTCCGACTCCAGCGTTTTGATATTGTAACGTGGGTTCGACCCTCGCGTTTTGATGTTGCATGTGACGCGGGTCCGACTCTAGCGTTTTACTGTTGACACACGGGGAGGACCTCCGCGTTTTGGTGTTGATACACGGGGAGGACCTCCGCGTTTTGGTCTTAGAGCGCGGTGATGAGTTCCGCGTCTTGCTTTGGAGAGATTATCAACAAGTAATCTCTTTTGTCATAGCGTTGCAAAGATCATTGTCTTGTAATCTTCGTCTTGGCTCCTTGAGAATATGAGAGTCGTCAGATTGTAACTCCCGATGTTGATTGTGAATGCTGTTGAACTAGAGCTCTCATCGGTTGTCGTGAAGGTCGTCAGATTGTAACCTTCAGCGATCTACGTGAAAGTCTTCAAATTGTAACATTCTGGAAGTCGTCAGATTGTAACTTCCATCATCGGTGTTTGATGGGGGATAAGCTATCTATTATGATTTTGGAAGTCGTCAGATTGTAACTTCCATCATCGGTGTTTGATGGGGGATAAGCTATCTATTATGATTTTTTGACAGCCTACAATAATCTCGCAGCTTTTAGCTAGTTTTGCCAAACAGAGCCTAATTAGTCCATTAATTATAACTTCATTGTCTATCATAATCCTCTCTTTTCGTGATCTTCACTTTATCTACAACTTTCCACACGTTCCCTCGCCGAAAGTGTTCACCTACAGTTCGTACCAACACCTATATCTATATCGTTACTACCCCAAATAAAGCCTTCCAAGAAGTGGCAAGAGGGCTATGATTATTATTATACAAAGGTTCTTAAAAGCCAACCAGCATTTCTCAAGCAAGATACAACGAGAGAAGGGACAAAACAAGGTGGAGGAGAGAAGCCAAAGCTACTAATTCCCCCTTTATTATTATATTATTAAGGGGTTTTTTTTCATGCTGGTCCCTTGCACCTTTAATATTTTTAAGTTAGTCCCACAAAACTT